ATGATATTCTAGACAAAGCTCTGATGGATAGTTGGAGGGAGAATCATGGACTTTGTCTCTTAAAGGGTGTTCTCACTCTGCCCTGCTCCAGCTGCCCCCCGGGGACAGAGCTAGTCCTGAGAATAGACAGGCAGAAGAACAGAGAAAACACATTCCAAAGTTAAGGATAGGGTCTCAGCAGCTTCTCAGGTGTATTTGACTAAATCACAGCGAGTATTACCTAACCTTTAGAACTGACCAAAAGAAAGGGCTTGAGAAATTTTGATGGATATTGTTGGTCATTGCTATTAAATGTGGTGAGTCTACAGCATTTTAAGGTTATCCAATTATAAGGAATAAGAAAGGATTCACATGAAGGATAGAAAAGAAGTTGACTGTGGCATTTTTATAAGTAGACCATTGGAAACAATATAAATATTGATCAGTAGGGAGTTGGCTAACTAAACTAATATATTAAACATGCATTCAATCTATATGTACTAACATGGGCTTTTTCCAAAAATTTGGTTGTTGTTTTTTGTGGGTTTTTTTTTTTTTTCCATTGGGAAAGGTAAGTTTTAAAAGCATTATGTGTAAAATAATGTCATTTATTAAAAGCACACACCACTGGTCTTCCACAAAAAAAAATCATGTTACACAGGTCTTTCCTTCAGCTCCAACCATTTATACTAGGATTTGAACGTCTTTAACTTGTTTATCCAAATATTATCCTCTACCATTTTTAGTACAGAAAAGAAACACCGACATCTGTAACATTAAATATAACTTTGGCTGTAAATACACCAACCGATTCAGCTTGATTCTTAAAATATGATTTTCTTTTAATTCCTTAAAGTCATCTACCTTCTATCATATTTTAACTCCTAGGTCTCTCCAAATAATTTGGTAATGAAACTCAGCACATCATCCAGGCAGCACTCATTCCCCTTACCATCAAGGTTTCACACAACTCCCAACCGCACAGCTGGTCATGGAGTAATCATCCCCTTGGAGCCAGGGAGCTCTCAACAGAGAAGGATAGTATGTGGTTTAATCCCACCTCTTTACAACCTACTTTCCCTGGCCATTATATATTCAAGTAGATTTCCTTGGCTCCTCCTCTCTGGAGTTATTTGGTTAGACACAAATGTCACAAATAAAACTAACTTTATATGATGATCCATCTTACTGTTGTTGTCAGTATGTTCTATCAACTTGCATTGTCCTTCCTCATCCCTCTTCCCAATAACAAGCCCTGCATCCTTCAAGACCAAGCTCAATGACTTTTTCTTTCTTTTTTTTTTTTTTTACATAACCTACGCTGATCTCCACAACTGAAATTTCTTAACCCTGCTTCATGTTTCCACCTTGATTCTACATCTTCAGTAGCAATTAGCATTCCCTGCCTTAAACGTATAGGCCTCTCACTGCCATGGCTGCTGATTTAGACAACCCCTGTCTTGTC